TCAATGCTCCCAAAATACAATACTGTACTTTGACGAACGAAAAGCGTCCTAGCGCTCATCCTTTTTCGATGGATGGCCAAGTTCTGCCAAGGAGCCATTCATTTCGGCTGGTCGAAGTCCAGATCACCGAGGACCTGATCTGGCACGAACACATCTCGTCAATGGCTGCAGCTGCTGGGAAAAAGCTAGGCTATTTGTTTAGGGCTAAGAAGTACTTTTCTCGGCATGACCTTCTCAATCTATACAAGGCCCAGATAAAGCCTAGCCTCGAGTATTGCTCACACGTTTGGGGTGCTGCCGCCCCGACTACATTATCCAGGCAGACCCGCCTGACTTTGGCGTCGCATCCTAACCGTGTCGAACTTCGTACATTCAGAACTGGCCGATACGACCGCTCCTTTGTCCCGAGGGTGTCGAGATTGTGGAACAATCTACAAGAGGAAGCTTTTCCCAGTCCTACTAACGTTAGGCAGTTCAAAAATTGTATTAACAAAATTTCTTTGGTATCATCATAGCAGCCGCGGTGTTCCGGCATTTAGGCTTCTGCCTGCGCGAGTGCTTCGATATAAAAAAAAAATCAAATTTTATAATTGAAACTAGGGTTTTTCCAGACCCTTACAAAATTGGAATAATTACACCGATTTATAAATCTGGCCACATATCTAATACCAGCAACTATAGACCAATAACATTAATATCTAATTCGGAAAAGATCATAATGGCTAGGCATTAGTTTTTTCAGCAAAAATAAGTTTATACATGAAAATCTACTTCTTTCTTGACTTCAAAAATTCATAAATTATTAGAGAAAAATAAATATACATTATGCATATTCTTAGACCTAGCAAAAGCGTTCGATACCATAGATCACTCGCAACCATTAGAAACTTTACACGATGCAGGAATTAGAGGAAATGCTCAAAACCTTATGAGAAGTTACCTGTTTTACAGAAAGCGATATGTTCAAATAAATGATTCAATAAGTTCATAAAAAACTGTGACTTATGGTGTATCACAAGGGACAGTTTTAAGCTCGTTATTATTTATTGTGTATAGCTTTAAGTCGCAAGGTACAATAATATGAAACTAGGTTTTAATTTATTGGGTAGGTATTGCTATAGGTCGAACCATGCTGTTTGCCACAGCCGACAGTAAAGTAAAAAATGAAATGAAATTTATGAAAGTGTTCTAGGTTCTGAGTTGACGGTATTGTAAGTGGAATTGATTTTTCATTGTGTGATATCGCTTGTTACTATCGCTAGTAAACTTAAACTTATAAGCCCGTGGTAAAAAACTTACATTAAGTATAGATTTTTTTTAGCTTATTTTTTTTAGTTTGTGATTAATAAAATCTAAACACTTTCTGATTAAAAAAATATATGTTTTTACATAGGTATGCTGCAAAAAAATAAAAACATTTGAAAAAATAATATGAAACTATTATAATATAAATGAAAATATATAAGAATATGTGACATTTTAAATAATAATTTAATTATCACACTTGTTACATTTTTTTAATGTTCTGAACATACGTGCCGGTTGCACCAAATACAAAATTGTTAACATGGATTGTTTTATATTGGAATGTAAAAACTTGTCATTATGGTACCTAAGAATTATATTTCAGCTTATTAATTTTTGGCCCAACTCCAACAAAAACATTCTTCTTCTATCCAAACGATTTTTTTCCAGCCTGGATTTTTTAACACCCATAATTTGTAGGCGCTGCTGCCACCAATGCCCAGTAGATATAAAAATATTGCCATCGGCCCCCGATTACTCTTTCTTTGAGTCGTGAATTCATTTGCACTTGCACATAACCGTTGGGCATCCCCCAAAGTGTTGGCGCCAAGATACGGGTTTATTTGTACCACAGTTGGTTTTCAGCGTATGCCAAATAAATACCTGCTGTTACATACCGAGCGTGGTGCAGTTGCAGCCCAAGGTACAAAACTCATTATAACTTGTTACAATAAATAGGAATTTCTTTAAACTTTTTATACCAAATTGGAACTACTTTGAAGTTGAGTCATTAATTTTCAGATAATGATTGTAGAAGGAAGATAAACCAAAATATGTGTGTAAAAATAAAAAAAAAATAAAAAAAAAATGTTACCTTGTTTTATAAAGTATCCTCCCGACAAGTATTTCAGTGCGGACCTGTATTTGATCGTGCGGTCTTGGAGCACCGGCATGCCCTCCCCTATGAGGTCTTAAGTCACCTGATTCACGAGCCCTTTGTACTACATTAACAAAGGCACGAGGGGTTGGTTGCACTCGATTGGGAAACCGATCCGCATAAATCCGTGATGCCGCGGCAGCATTTTGTAAAGACTCCCCCCCCGTAAACAAGAATCATGTCCACAAGTTCAGCATTTTCGTAAACATGTGCCATTTTTTATTTCGTTTGAGCCACGCAACAAACACCACTATTCACTCACGCGTTACCGACTGACACATTGACTGAATACAACTGAATAAAATTGTAGTAAAAGCATCGTGATACGCGTTTCAAATTCTTTCGCTTTTTTGTTTCCGATGCGGTGAACGGATAAGGCGGATTATATCCGTTGTTGCCAAACACGAGCACATAATATTATTATTGAGACAGGGCGGTACTCAAACTTCTAAAGGGCTATAACTTTGTTACTTTAATTTTACCAGAAAAATGTTAAAGGAAAAAACATTTCTTTTTATCAGATCTATTCACTGTTAAAATAAATGACTCAACTTCGAAGTATTTAAGAAACATACTTCGAAGGAAATTGAGTTAAAAAAATATTTAAGAAAATTAACTTAAAAATTAATGTCTGGGGTGCAACTGCACCCCGTTCGAGTTTGTGAAGGTTAATATGATCCTCTGGAGTCACGTGTAACCTATATTTGATGAGTGGTTGTTATACTATTTTATATCACTTCACTTTATTGAGTTCATAAAATATAGGGTGTCCTCCAGCTGGGGCTTTCCTTTACATACCGTGTAGATTACGCAACAATAAGCAAACCTATATTGAGTTGAGAAATCTGTATCTGCTGGTCCTGCCTTGCAACCAGAGTGAAAAGGTACCACGTGTGTCAGTATCCAAGTCATGCGCCACGCGGTGGGTAGGGTAACCGATTTGTTCATTTACAAGTCGGAGTTCGAAAAAACGGAATTGACACATGCCTATAGCACTAATGGAGTTACCGATGTTAGTTCACGGAGAGTCTCGTCTTCCTGGAGGTTTCTCTCTCGAGTCGTGTAGGTAGGACACAGAAAAAGATCTAGACAGCCCCGAATGATAGCTTAGGAAGAAGTTTACAAAGTCATTTTCGAATCTAACAGTGTTAACATGCAACAGTACTTAAGAGCATCTTGGGACACTGGAGTACTTGGTACTTGTTACCAAGTTTCCTGGTACGATTCTACTGCTTTTTCCCTGCACATTAGCTTTGTCATTTCAAAATTAGTTGTTTCGGACCAGGAGTCTCAAGTCCCAACTTTCAGGCCACTATGTACAAAGGGTACTATAAAAGCTTTGCTATACAGCTTTATTTATTGACTTCGTTCAAAGAAATTTCCACCAGATTCAATACAATACACTTCTCCATCCGCCAAAACCAGTCCTTAAACCAGCTCTGTCAAGTTTCTCCCGGTAGTGCGGCACACTCGTTGTCCCAAGGTCCTTATAGCTAGAAAACCGTTTTGCTCTTAGCTTCATTTTCACATGCTGAAATCGAAGGGAGCAAGATATGGACTGTAAGGAGGGTGCTCAACAAGTTTCAGTCCAGTAGTGGTCAAATTTTCGGTGCAGGCTTTGGCGCGGTGAACTGGAGCGTTGTGATGGTGGAGCTACCGAGTGTCCATTCTTGCCTTTGGCCGCAGGTTTTTCATAGACTATGACCTTAGACACGCACTGTTCCGTGTACCACTTAGCGGTGGTTGTGTTCTGTGTGTCCAAAATGATACGCTCCACAAACCCGATCGATTTGAAAAATACAGCTACCATTTTTTTCTTAACAGATTGGGATTTTCAGACAGCTACGGGTATGTCCTCATCATCAAAAACCCAAACTTTCTTTTGAGCCTTGGTCGACACATCCCAATAATAGAGCCAAGTCTCGTCAAGTGTCACGATGCTGTTCACATACCGAGATTGCCCCTTATCAAACATTTTCAGCATCTTTCGACACCAAGTTGTATGACGAGTCTTGTGCTCTTCTGTCAGACTATGTGGTACCCAGAGAGAACAAAGTTTCCTTACGTGTAAATGGTCATGCAGAATTGAACGAAATGCTGGTGCATGCAGGTGTAAGGTTTCCGCTATCCGTTGGTATGTCACTCTTTGGTCTTCGTCAAGCATTTTCCTCACAGCAGAAATGTTTTCCTGTTACTGATCTTCGCGGCCTTCCTTTCCTCTCAGCGTCATCCAGAGTGAAATTGCCCCTTTCGAATTCTCTGTACCACCTGAATATAGTCGTAGGATGAGGACAAACATTATTTAATGCAAGCGTCATTTCTTCTAAGCACTGGCCTGTACGTAAACCACGCGTAAAGTTATACCGTAAAACTGCCCTTATCTCACTACGTGACCACGATACCATATTCCGCACTTTTGTCAATACGAACGAACAACTATATCAACAGACGTCATGCTGGCGGCTACTATGCACTCATGAACATGTCTCAACATGCAGTAACATGCAACCTCCTGCGTCAGTTTGTTGAGTCATATTGAAAAACTTTTATAGTACCCTTTGTATATAAAAGAACTAAGTTCACCCATAATCAAGATGTCTCTGTCACTTGCCAATGAACAACTGTGTTACTGGTTAAAGAGATCTTCATAGGAGCCTAGCGGCACAGTGGTGGAATGTTGATGACTCAGAACATTTTTATAAATTTGTAGTACAGTCGGCAGCATTCGGAAAAAATAGGTTTCGGGAGAAGAAGATTGCTAATGTATCTTATTACTAGTGCACTACAGGTGACCATCAATTAAGTAAACTATGTAACTTCATTTGAATGTTTTATTGCGTTTCGTCGCATGTATGTGCATATTATGTACTTTTTTATCTAACTTCGGATACATATCCTTCCAGACAGGTTCTTTAGTTTCTTTCATCATCCTTGGACTGCAAACACATTTATTGTTGATGCATTTTGGAATCATCAGTATAGCATCAACGGAGTTATCCTTCCCTAGCTGTTTGCCCATTTCATCGCAATCATCTTTGTATTTTCGACACTTAGTTGTAAAATCACAGGTATCCCATCCTAACACAATTTCTACAGGAAAATAAACATAGCTTAATATCAGATGAAATTCATAATAAAAAGTTAGATAATTATGGGAAAAAGATCAAGTTTTACAGATTACGCGAATTCACTGCCGGAAGGATCTTTGTGCCTTGACAAATCGAACTTTCATGTCAATTAAATTATTTTTCCCTCCAGCCATCAATTGATTTACGGTGAAAGTAAGACTTTATCCTACTATACTTACGTGCAAAGACTGCTATTGGCAAAAGTAGAGCAAGATAGAAATTCTCAAAAACAAACATTTCGAGTAGTAAGGTTTGTTCATACTACTCCTACGTGATACAAGAATGAGGTCTTAAGTACATACCTATTGGCTGGAGAATGACTGTTACCTGCTTATTATGTGTTTTAGCCTAATTAACAAAAGTAATTGTTTCTTAAACATATACTTAAGCTAAATGCATCTAATGGCGCAAAAGCTCATAACAGCCTATGTCCAAATGACTTAATTATTTCCTACAAACTAAAAATAATAACTATGTTAGCTGTATGAAATAGTAGAACGAGGAAAATATTAGAGCATTAGATGGATAAATATATTTTTGTAAAACGCCATCACTCCATGAGGGATTGGTTTCTTTTTTGAATAATAATCCGTTCATACTGCTAAATGGAACTAATACGTACATAAATATTAAAATCTGCACCGATAGCTCATGGGCAATACTGACTAAAAAGTGTAACAAATTGAGAACGTGGTCTGGATTACCACATCTGACACTTCTGGGGTCCATACTTCTTCAAAGGTAACGGTATAACTAAGGGCTGGGCAGAGAGAAGCCACCGATACTCACGGGCCTTTAATTCTTAATTACAAAAAAGCACGCGTTCAGCAAAAATACTGACTGACGCGAGTCCGCCCGTCGAAAAATCCTGATGAGCATTACGCATAATAGGGCATCACCTAATAAACTGCCTGCAAACGCGGTAGTCACCTGTGGAAGTGATGGCAACTGTAAATAGAGTGCAATCACACAGTTTCTAAAAATATGTTGGACTGTATGCTTCTGAAATTGAAGAAAATGTCTCGGGGTCATTGTGACTAAAGTACAACCTCATCCGTAGGTGGTAGACGGTCTCTGACTATCGTACGCGGAGGTACCACCCGGCGGATCTCGTAGGTAGCTGGAGTATGAATATATATATATATATATATATATATAAAATAAATGCTGTCAAATACAGAATCATGACGCCTTAATCTTCCGTCACAGTGTCCTGCATGCTTCACCGACGGACCTTTTCCAAGGAAACGAAATCCAGTGGGACGGGAATGTACTTGGGAGGCAAAGACATGCAGGAAAGATATGCGCATGGAACCTGCAGAACAATCTTCCAGGCAGAGGTATTTGCCATCTTAACGGTGGCACACTCAGAGGAAATTCAGCAGTCCACCTAGAGGAGCATATTCATACGCTCTGACAGTCAAGCAGCCCTGAAGGCGGTGTCATCCCCGAGGACAAGGTCACTCTTAATTCGGAAATAGAGTTTAGCCTGATCTAAAGAAGTGACGCTATTTTGGAGTGCCGAGCAACGAGAAAGCTGATCGCCTGACTAGGCTGGGACCCAGAAACTAGGCTGGCCATAAGCAGGAGCGATGTCAACACGGCCATGACTGAATGGGGGTATTGGGGCCTGGAAAGAGCGTGACGACGGATAGATGATGACTGCAGACAGACCAAGATTATAGCGGGCCCCTATAAACGTTGCACGCGCTGGCTACTGAACAGGGGTGGAGAATCATTCAATCCTTTATTATTGATTATTCAGTAGAATAGACAGTTTAGTGAATCAATATGTGGGGTAGACTGTTGGTACATTCAGGATCGGCAAAACGGGCCAAAGGTGGTCTACTTGCCTGGCTTAGCCTCCTCACAAGCATCACTGCTATTACTACTACTACTGACATTACTTTTAGATGGGAAATGTGAGAACATCAGACAATTGAGCAACCGTCTTGCGAGTTCCCAAATGTTCTGTCAATAGGGAGGAGGAGCATTCAAGCTCTGTGGCAAGCATAAACTCCGCTGGGTCATGTCATCACCTACTTAAATAGTTCCAAATAATTGATGGACTAGCACCAGGGAACCTGTGCAGAGGACCGACAAGGCCCAGCAGGACTTAAGCACCTAGGTGCTGGGCTTCTCGCTGAGCTTACCTCTTTTCAAAATACAGAATACAGACGAATAGAAATATAAGAATAACAAAACCTTGTAATGTGAAACGAAGGTAATTCCGAAGCGAAGAAAGCGCTCGTTATAGAGCACAATTAGTGGTATATGCCAGTTTCTTAATTAAGGTGGTATGACCGGGAGAGTTCCGTACGGTGCCCCACGGCTCTCTCCGGAACACGGGAACAGCGGGTATCTCTTCAGCTTCCGGTAATTGACGGCGAGATCCTGAATTAATGGATGTTATGACGCTTGGAGTGCCATCCACGTACATGCGGCTTCAGCTACAAAGGCCTACTCATACTCAACGAGATACAGACTAAAAATAGAAAATTTTCCATATGGCGCAAGCGAATCTGGTATAAAAAAGAATAAAAAATGAAGCAACCACTTTTTTATAAAATGTCAGTATTATTTAGCATCGAAGATCTTTGAAAAGCAACCATGAAGTCAGCTCACAGTAGCTCCCTACCTTATGCGTGGGGATCTGAAGGGCAAGAAAAGCATATATGTGGTAGTAGCTCAACTGGGAGCATCAATTGTAAGAATCGACAATTAGTCAATACGTCAATTTAATGCATGCGTTTTTGTTTCTTTTGTGAAAAATCTTCACCAACTATTTTACCTCCCATTTGGTATTCGACACAGTTCAGTAGGGCCACCCACAAATTTTGCCTCTCATGAGCAAGCACGGCACTGGACGCGTTCGAATGTCTCGTTTATATCTTTAGATGTTACTAGTAAATAAAGTTTCTTAGACAAAACTACTATTGCCACTGATTAAGTTAAATCCAACTTCACCGTTATATGTTGTAGAGTTTTTACCGCAGCAGAAAAAGTTGAGTCGTTGAGAAGGAATTAAGGGCTGCTTAATAGTTCCACAGTAACCGTAAAATGTTTTCTGAGGTGACGAAACTTTTTTGGTAAACGACTCTACAGAAAAACTCGGTACCTGCTTGCTGGAATTTCGTCAGAAACGTGGCGAAGGTATTCTTTTATGGTCTGCTGAGGTGAATTAATAGGTGTCTAAAGTAGGTCACACATTTTCATAATTCTTAATCTAACTTGATCCAACAAGTTTTATTCAAGCTGTTCCAAAAGATACGCTGATATAGTAGCACAAATAATTAAGGCATCAGCCTAAATCGATTCACTGCTTTGCAAAAAGCAGCCCTAGCATGCAACCATTGAGAGTGCTGGACTGATAGGATCTTTGCGGTTGAAGTCTTGAGATGTCAAACTTTGCTTGGATAGATAAAATCTACTTGGTATGAATTTTCCACCTGCATTATTTCAGGAAATATCTTCCAAAATGGACAATTTTTTACTACCAAGAACAGAATCTCCCCTTCGTTATCTTGTACATAAAAGTCCCGAGACTTATTTTCTGATTTGAGCAGGCTTCTTATTTCAGCTAAATGGTAAATGGGCGACCACGGCAGCAGAAAGGAATATCAACTTTGGACACTTATTCATAGAATAAATAGCGCCTAACAGGTTTACCGTGTACTTGCTTTGCCACGCGACGCTATCATCAATTCATAAAAGATTCAGTAGATCAAGTCAGTCGAATAGTCCCACACACTTGGTATCTAGTCCCACTATTTACGAACTTTTTCTATGTGGTATTCTAGTGTATTTTCCTGTGTTCTACTGCAAACATTATTGCGGTTTTTTGCACTAGTCGCGTTACTTGTGAAACAAGCAATTTTACCATTTATAACATGCTATTAAGTCATAACGTCAAAAAGGCGACTATTTCCCGAACTTCTGCGTCATGCTTCTGCACATCCTAAAATATATTTTCATGGGATGGGTAGAAAAAGCAAAAAATATGATAAGTAAGTTCTATCATGCAAGTAAATTTTCAGACGACTGACACGATTGTACTCTTTCGATAGCGGCATTGCAAGAATTAATTGGGTGCTGAAATATGAGGTCTGATTTTTTAATTGGTTTTTAGTAAAATACAATTACAATTTTATATTATCACCCTCAGAATCAATTCCTTCTGAAGCCACACAGTGCTGGTCTGCCACTCCTCATAGCAGTGCTCGAACTCTGACACTGGAATAGTCTTCAGTTGGTCGGTTACAGTGGATTGAATGTTTGAGACTGACCCAAAATGAGTTCTCTTGAGATTATTTTTTTACTTCGGGAAAATAAAAAAGTCCCAAGGAGTCAAGTCAGGCGAATAAGGAGGCTTACGAGCCACATGTATGTTTATACTGGTCAAAAACTCGTTTATTGACATTGCTGTGTAGCAAGTAGCATTATCGTGATGCAATACCAGGTTGTTTTTGATCCGATGAACGGTGACGTGAGTCAAATTTCACTCCTCCTCGATCATCTTGACTGACAACCGACGATCCGAATGCACTATATCGGATTCTATCGATATTTTCGTCGGTTTTTGAAGATGAAGGCTTTCCGCTTCCTGGTTCATCTTCTAATCTACTCTCTCCCTTCTGAACATGCCTCAAACCACCGAAAATCCTGGGCCCTCGACAAAACACTATCTATGTAGGCCTGCTGAAATTTGGCAATGGTTTCCGTTGCACTGTGCCCAAACCTGCTAGCACACCGTTGCTCGACATTGATGTCATTCATTTTTAAAACAAAATAGGACACACTGTTTCACAAGAAAAAAATAATCGCTACGAAAAAACAAATGACTCGAGTGAGTGCCTGCTTGTACTGAAGTCGGATCACATGTTCCCCTGTCTCTCCTCCAAGCTCGGCGCTTCCAGTGTTGCCAGATTGAACGCTACATTGTCAGTCTTATTACTTAATTTATAGACCTCGTACAGTGGTGCATGTCAATACTATGAGAAACTTTCATTCAACTTTAAGATAGATGATCGGAATAGCAGTTAGCCCAAAGTTTAAGGAGTCGGTTCCAGAATAGTACTTTTCCAAAAAAATGCCTTGTCCTACATTTAAAAAATAACCTAATAGATAGTAGCCAAAATAGAAAAAAAAACAAAATTCATAGTTGGCAGTTTGAATTCTTGTTTCAGTGCTTTTTCCACCGTCTTTGGTTTCATGCAACGACCAAGACAATATGGATATCGTTATAGAGGTTACATTAATCGTGATTTCAAAATTGACAAATTCAGTAGAAACTGATTTTCAGGTAAT